ATGAGGACAGACTAGAGCCGTTGTGCTGCATGACACAGACTACGTAATGCAGGCATTCAAAGGAAAGGATGAAGTCTGAAGCAGAAGGTGTAGGTTGAGAGAGAGCCCAGAAAAATGATCACAAGAGGAAGGTGGTCTTAGAAAAGGAAATGAGTTGGCCTGGTGCGGTGGCTCCCACCTATAATCCCAGCACTTTGGGAGGCCAAGGTGGGTGGATCACGAGGTCAGGAGTTCAAGACCAGCCTGGCCAACATAGTGAAATCCCGTCTCTACTAAAAATACAAAAAAGTAGCCAGGCGCGATCGCGGGCATCTGTAATCCCAGCCACTTGGGAGGCTGAGAAAGAAAAGGAAATGAGTCTTACACATGGACAAGCCAGAGACTCGCCTCACTGGAAATGGCCACCTGGAAACTGAAGAGACACAGGACCAAAGTACATCCAGATAAATGAGCAGCTCAACAACCAAAGAGATGAGAGGAGATTTCCATGCTGGTCCAGGGAGGCTTACAAGCAGAAGTGTGAACCAAGACATCCCTCCTCCACTTAAGCACACAAAACTTCCTACATAACCCCTGACAACCAGACTCTTGGGCTTACAATTTGTGATTAACTCTTTTTCTTTCTCTCTTTTTTTTTTTTTCTTTTAGACAGAGTTCTAATAGATAATTTTAGAATTTTTGTATTTTTTTTTAGTAGAGATGGAGTTTCACCATGTTGGCCAGGATGGTCTTGATCTCTTGATGTCGTGATCTGTCTGCCTCGGCCTCCCAAAGTGCTAGGATTACAGGCATGAGCCACCACACCCGGTCATGACTGACTATTTTGCTTTATTTTTACTTCCTTCTATTCTCTCTTTCCTCCTTTTTTATTTTTTAATTTTTTTATTATTTTTTATTTTTTTTGAGACGGAGTCTCACTCTGTTGCCCAGGCTGGAGTGCAGTAGTGCAGTCTCAGCTCACTGCAACCTCCGCCTCTGGAGTTCAAGCAATTCTTCTGCCTCAGCACCCCCCCAACCCCTACTCCCCAGTAGCTGGGATTACAGGTGTGCACCACCATGCCCAGCTAATTTTTGTGTTTTTAGGAGAGACGGGGTTTTACCACATTGGCCAGGCTGGTCTCGAACTCCTGACCTCAGGTGATCCACCCGCCTTGGCCTCCCAAAGTGCTGGGATTACAGGTGTGAGTCACCTCACCTGGCCTTTCCTCCTTTTTTAAAGCAAATGTGAATGTGATTACTAATTGGTCAGACACACTTTATGTATTAATTTATTTAATCCACAAACAACCTTTTGAGTTAGGTTGTTATTGTCTCCATTTTACAGATGGAGAAACTGGGGCTCAGAGAAGTTACACACTGGGTGACAGAGATAGGATTCAAACACTGCCAGACTGGGCTCTCTCCTTCACATTTGCCCCCCACAATGAAGTCATCACATTCTATGTGATAATCCCCCTGATTCCTTTCTCAACATTTCCCATATGTTTTATCCTCACCATGTGCAGAGCCTGTAACTCCATGGAATTCATACATTTCCAAAGCATTCACTAAGTTCGTGGTATATATACCAGATGCTAGACCAGCTGCTGGGAATAACACAAAGTCTCCACTCTCCAGGAAGGTCACACTCAAAGGCAGAGACAAGCACGTGAACATGTCGCTGGGGGTTAGACAGGAGTGCTTACGGGGTCTAGTGGGAGGCAATATGGAAATGATTCATAGAGCCAGAACCACTTGAATTCAGTCTTGAAAAGAAGCTCCACTGGGAAGGTGCATTACAGACCTTGCACAATGAACCAAACCATGGAGAGGTGAACCTACACGTCAAGGTGGGAGGGTGGGCCCAGGATGAAATCAAAGATGTAGGTGAAAAACAAATTCTCGCTCATCCCAAAATAGCTGTTATTGAGCATCTGCTCTGTGTTAAGCCCTAGGAGGTAGGAAGAAGAGAAGAGAGATACTAATACACTACTCATATCCCACAAAGGTGAAGAATGGCAAAGGTCTACAGACAGTGCCTCAGACAGGGTAGGTACATCACAAAGATTTGTTGATTCACAGTCTTTCTCCAACATCACTTTAAATCACATGACCAAGAATAGCTTTCCGTAACTGACCATATAAAATCAAGACCAAATGTTTTCCAGATTCAAGGCCCCCATCGTCTACTCTCTACTTGGTTCTACCTCACTTCTTGCTACTTGCCAAATGTATCTTTTTATTCCAAATACATTACAGGCAAATTAGTGGGAAATATTCACACTTTATATCTCCTTTGCACACATAATTTCCCTGGCCTGGAATATTGATCTCCCTTATTTTCTAGCCATCTTTGTACATAACCTTTTTCAAAAGTAACCAATGCAGGGATGATTTTTTTTTCCACTCAGCTGGTTTTGGCCTTTTCCCTAAGACATCCCATGGCGCTTGTGGATTAAAGTTTCTGGTGTGTTTAGCACTAATGGATTTTGCTCTCTACGGTCCTTACAGTCATGCATGTATGAGATGGCACATAGTAGGTGCTGAAGAAACCCTTATTGGACTCACGGTGTAGTGTTACATACCATAACAAAATACTGGCTGGTTGCAGTGGCTCACGCCTGTAATACCAGTACTTTGGGAGGCCAAAGTGAGTGGATCACTTGAGGTAAGAAGTTCGAGACCAGCCTAACCAACATGGCCAAACCCTGTCTCTACTAAAAATACAAAACTAGCCTGGTGTGGTGGCACACGCCTGTAATTCCAACTACTTGGGAGGCTGAGGCAGGAGAATCTCTTGACTCCAGGAGGCGGAGGTTGCAGTGAGCTGAGATCATGCCATTGCACTTCAGCCTGGGCAACAAGAGCAAAAATCCATCTCAAAAAAAAAAAAAAAAAAAAAACTTCTCATTATCAAGCACTGTGTTTTAAGATAAGTATTATCAAACCTTCCTTCCCTTCCTCCCCTGAAACATAGATAATGAAATATACTGATTCATCAGCCTTGTAAATTAATCCCAGTCTCCCGCAAGGAACTGCTATGATGTGACTGAAATCATCAGTCTACACTGGACGAGATGTTTCTAGAATAGTAACATTCTAGAAACACACACAGTAAGCTCCCAATAACTATTTGTGGAAGTGAATTAAAACAATCAGCCTTTTTTTCCACACCTGCTATCCACTACATTATGCAGCAAAAACTTCCAAGAGCAAAGTTTGTAAACAGAATTTGAAGAAGAGCCCAAATCAAACATGGGGAAAGTCATTTGACCCACTTTCCATGTCATGCTATCCTAAAAGACTTAAGCCACTTTCTTCCTCGTGGAGGTAACAGTCTGTCAATTGCTTAGGTTAGTTACCACTATCATCCCTCTCCAACTTTAGGAACTGCCCAACACTGGCCATACAATCTGAAAATGGCATTTTCAAATAATTTATGGATAACATATTAAGAAAGGACTGCCGATTGTCACATTCCACTCTGTGGATCTTTTCGAAATAAAAAAAAGTAAGCAGTCAAAAAATAAGTTAGGTTTTATCCCTCAAATGATATGTAATTACCATAAATAAAAAAACTAATGTCACAGAGAGGATACTAACTCTGATACTCCAATGTGTATCGAGCAAAAATGCTTTGCAGCCAGCCAAAATCAACCCACAGATAATAAAGGAAACTTTGGAAATGTTGCCGCTCATTTGGACTTTTCTTTTCCCCTCTGACAATACTCCACATACTATGAATCAAAGGTATTGGACAATTGCGAGACCTGCCTCGGTCCATCCAATCCATGCGCCTTCCAATGCATTGAGATCTGCCGGGTGACATATGAGATCTAAAGTGGGTGGATAAAAATAACTTGGTCCTCAAAAAGACATGATAAACGCCAGACAGCTGAGTCACTTAGAAGCCTATTTTGACTTTTGAAAGGGACATTCACCCTCCTGCTGCTTCTCACACATTCACATAGAACCAGGTGAAAACCACCACCAACCGCCCCGGGTAGAAGGCGATCCCTCTCAGCTTCCTCCTCCATTCTCCGAGGTCACGACTCGGGATTGAACTTTTAATAATTTATACTTGAGCATGTCAGTCCAAGTGACTCATTTAGAAGGGTAACGGGGGAAGGCTTAAGAAAACCATCACAATCCAGTAGATCCCCTATTTCTGCTGCCCGATTGGAGGCACCGGAAGGTTTCGTCTGCCTTTTTTTTCTTTGAGACGGAGTCTCGCTCTGTCGCCCACGCTGGAGGACAGTGGCGCGATCTCGGCTCACTACAGCCTCCTCCTTCCCGGTTCAAGAGATTCTCAAGCCTCAGCCTCCCGAGTAGCTGGGACTACAGGCGCCCGCCACCACACCCGGCTAATTTTTGGTGTTTTTTAAGTAAAGACGGGGTTTCGCCATATTAGCCAGACTGGTCTCGAACTCCTGACCTCAGGCGATCCGCCCGCCTCCGCCTCTTAAAGTGCTGGTATTACAGATGTGAGCTACCGCGCCCGGCCCTGACATTCTAAAGGCAAGAAAAGGAGTAGGGTGAAATGGGAAGTGGCAGAAGAAAAGCTCAGAGAGCAAATCAGAATTGTCCAGGAGTGGGGATCCCTGAGCAAAGCAAGTGGTCCCAGAAAAGGAAGGGCTGTGTGTCCGGGGGTGTGGGGGAATCATCCCGTCCACCTACCCGCCCTGCGCTCTGCCCCGGGGAGGACGCAAACGATCTGCAACGTGCAGTTCGGAACAGGGAACTCTTGGACCTCATCTATCTTTAAACGGCGGCAGGGCTGTGTGCAAGCTGCTGGGAATTGGGCCCTTCCAGCCTGGGGAGGCTGGAGGAGCAAAGCCACCAGTCCTCGGCTGCAGCAGCCCTGGGGCGCTCACTGTCTGCCGAACTGCAGTGCTCCTGAGCCAATTCTGCCGCCCAGAAAAAGAGAAGAGGTCCCCAGCCGCCACTGCGCATCTTCTCCCCCCGCTTCACGTGCCGCAGGCCGCCGGCCCCGCGACCCTCCCCCGAGGCGCCTCACTTACGGGGGAGTCGTAGGAGAAGGCGCACTCGTTCTTGTAGACCCTGTCGCCGGACCTGGGCACGCGGATCGTGGGCATGTGGGGCACCAGCAGCTCGCCGATGTCTCCTGCAGCCATCTTCCGGCCTCCGCTGCCGCCCGGCATGCCGAACAGGGCGCCCCGGCGCTGCATGGCCTCGGCACGCACCGGAGCCGAGCGAGCCGAGCCGGAGCCGGAGCGCGCTGTCCGCCGGCGGCGGTGGCGCCAGCGAGCGGGCGGACGGGCGGGCTGCGCGGGCGACCGCAGCCGGGCGAGCCGGGGCGGGCGGGGAGAGCGGGGAGAGCGGGCCGCGGGGCGGGAACGGGCACCGGGGGCTCGGGGCGGGCGGGCGACGCTGCTATTTTTAATCCAATGGCGAGTCTCCGGCCCAGCTGCAGCGTCAGGCGGGGCTGGGGAGCGCCAGCCGCAGCGCGCCGGGGAGGGGGAGCTGGAGAGGGGCCCTGCGAGCGGGCCGGGCTCGGCGGCGGGGGGCGGAGGGCGACCCCTGAGGCGTCGGCGCGGGAGCCCGAGCGGGCTGGCGGCCGACCGCGGCGCGGGAGAGCCCGGGGAAAACACCACGTAGGTGTTTTCTATCCCGAACTCTTGGCTTGCAGAGGGGCAACTCCGAGGAGGCAAACACAAAGAGCAGGATTGGGGGTTTTAAAAACCGCTTGCTTTTAAAACAGCCGAAGACTAGAGCGGTGACGTCCTGGGATTGGGTAGGGGCAGGACTCGATGTGCAAATCTGGAATCTAACGTGAGGCTTAAATCTAAATTTGCGCCATGCACTTCGGTGTTTCCCCACTAAGCTTCGTTCCTTACTTTAACATCCAAAGCTCAAAAATAGAATAGAACAAGATCGAGTGAGGATAGAGGGTGTGTGTGCGTGTGTGTAATAATAATATAGGTTTTCTTACATATTGGAGGAAGTCAGGGATGGTCAAGATTTTTTTCAGGGCGTCGGGAGGCTTTCTATTTTTCTCGGCCTTTGGAGTATCTTCTATGTGATTCAAAGTTCCCATGTCGAACATTCAGTGGCCTGATTTGAGGATTTTGTAGGCAAACATACATATTCCTGTCTTACTCATCAGTTCCTCAAAATCAATGATGAATGGGGTTGGGCTGGGGGGTTGATAATTTGCAAGCAAAGCATGTCTCCCAGCGTACTCTCATTTTCTCCAAAAAACTCATAAGACGATTTCAGTGACACAGTGGTTCTCTTAACTACACCCAACATATATATTCATAGCAGGGTATCCAGTTAATGAAACGCCGAAAGAGCGAGAAATAGTGAACCAAAACGCTAATTTTTGTAAGCTTCTCCCAGATCAGACAGTCCTTAAGTTCTTCTTTTTTTTTTTTTTTTTTTTTTCTTACATTATGTATCTATTAACTCTCCCTGGTTCTCCAGACCTATCTCGAGATTTCCATACCCTCAAGCAAGCCTCGAGCGCACCACACTTTCTTATAACTCATCACTCCCAAATGCTATCTGTTGGAAACGGAGGAGGTGGCACTGAGCAAAAAATCAGACACTATTGTCATCTTCATCATTGGGGCAGATACTCTCAGCAAGCTTTTGCTTTGAATTTAGTCTCATCAGCTTATTACCTTTCAGGTTCATGGATGATGTTTTCTCCAATTACAGAGATAGACTTGGTTTTACGAAACTTAAAAATTTAATCTTAGATTAAATGCAAATTAAATCAGTGAGACACTGTTTTTCATCCGTTGGGCTGATAAAGATATATTGAGTTAGCATGGGTTTGGGAAATAGACCCTCATGTACATTGTTGGTGGGGATAAAAACGATAAACCTCTTTGGAAGGAAATGTAATAATATCAGTCATAACTTTATATGTGCATACTGTTTTCCCCAGCATTTCCTTGTCTAGACATTTATGCAACAGATAAATTCAGGCTATGTAAAGATATTTGTTAGAGCACTGTTTCGAGTAACAAACGTCTGGGGAAAACCTAAAGATCCTTCTGTAGAAAGTGGTTATAATACAGTACCATTGAAAAGAATGAAGTTGCTCTACATGTGCTAATGTGGAACAATCTCCAGATTATTACTAGATGAAAAAAAGTAATTTAAGCAAACTAGTGTATAAAAGCAAGGAATACATGCAAGGCTGATAATATGCAGTGGGCACTTTGGCACGTCGTATGTACCATAGGCCTTCCTTCCAGTTGGTTGTACCTGTGGGAAATATTTTTAATGTAGCCCCTTAAGATACACATATGTGTATGCATGCCCACTTGTTTGGCTTTAGGATGTCTCTAGAGCAATACACAAGAAACTAGTGACAATAAGGATCTGTGGAGAAGAACACAAGCCTGAGGTTAAAGGAGAACTTACTAACTGATATAGTTAGGCTGTGTCCCCACCCAAATCTCATCTTGAATTCCCACGTGTTGTGGGAGAGACCCAGTAGGAGGTAATTGAATCATGGGTGCAGGTCTTTCCCTTGCTGTTCTTGTGATAATGAATAAGCCTCACAAGAGCTCATGGTTTTACAAACAGGAGTCTTCCTGCACGAGCTCTCTCCTGTTGTCTGCCTCTGTGTGAGACCTCCCTTTCACCTTCCACCATGATTGTGAAGTCTCCCCAGCCACGTGGAACTCTAAGTCCAAATAAAACTTTCTTTTGTTAAACTTGCCCGCGTTCTCAAGCTAGTGCGCTTTGTCAGGCAAGCGTGAAAACAGATTTACTAATACTTACCATTATTTTTTAGCTTTTGTAGTGATTCCATTTTGTATTATGTGCAAGCATTGCTTTCCCCCCCACCCCCCACCCCTTGGTTTTTTGAGGTGGAGTCTCCCTCTGTTGCCCAGCTGGGACTGCAAGGGCAGGATTCTTTCAGCTCATCTGCAACCTCCGCCTTCTGGGTTGTGACGCGATTCTCCCGCCCTCAGCCCTTCCAGAGTAACTGGGGACCAGATGCAGCCACCACAACCCAGCTTAATTTTTTATTGTTTATTGTATTTTTGTTAGACTGGGATTTCATCACACGTGCCTTGGGCCAGTCTCTGGTCTTTGACTCTGACTCCAGGCTGATCCACCCAACCGTCGGGCTCCACAGAGTGCTGGGATTAATAGGCGTGAGCCACTCACTCCCAGCCTCAGATATTGCTTTAAAAATTAATTAAAAGCTCCAGCCCGTCGCTTCTCCAACACGAGCGCTGCCTATAACCTCACCACCTTCCAGCAGAAGAAAGGGGTCTAAAGTAGGGAGATCTCTATACCATAGGGCTTGGTTACAAAGCTGACTGCCCAAAAATCATCAAGGTTGGTAAAGAACCCAGGAAGCAATCCGCAGCAACTCTGGGAGGCCCGAGGCGGGTGGATCAACGAGGTCAGGAGTTCAAGACCGCAGCCTGGCCAAGATAGTGAAAACCTCGTCCCTACTAAAAAATCACAAAAAAAAAAAAAATCAGCCTGGGCGCGGTGCAGGCGCCTGTAAATCCCAGCTACTGGGGAGCGCAGGTCAGGAGAATAGCTTTGAACCTGGGGCGGCGGAGGTTGCAGTGAGCCACGACGCGCCACTGCACTCCAGCCTGGGCGACCGGAGTGGAAGACTCCGATATCCAAAAAAAAAACAAAAACCCAGGAAGCAACTATAGCTACAAACGCACAAGCGTGCGCCCTTCTTACTGGACAGACCGTGAAGAACCCTCAATCATTACAGAGCCTGGTACTTGGTACTGTTGGGCAGCTGGTGGGCACCTCGGTAAAATTAGACGTTATCAGAAGTCCTCTGAACTTCTGATTCGCAAACTTCCCTTCCAGTGCCTGGTGCAAGAAATTGCTCAGTACTTTAAAACAGATATGTACTTCCAGAGTGCAGCTGTTGGTGCTTTGCAGGAGGCAAGTGAGGCCTATCTGGTTGGCCTTTTTGAAGACACCAACCTGTGTGCTATCCGTGCCGAACATGTAACAATTATGCCAAAAGACATCCAGCTAACACACCACGTACGTGGAAAATGTGCTTAAGAATCCACTATGCTGGGCACGGTGGCTCACGCCTGTAATCCTAACACTCTGGGAGGCCGAGGCGGGCGGATCACCTGAGGTCGGGAGTTCAAGACCAGCCTGACCAACATGGAGAAACCCCGTCTCTACTAAAATAGAAAATTAGCCCGGTGTGGTGGCGCATGCCTGTAGTCCCAGCTACTCAGGAGGTTGAGGCAGGAGAATCGCTTGAACCCGGGAGGCAGAGGTTGCAGTGAGCCGAGATTGCGTCATTGCACTCCAGCCTGGGCAAGAAGAGTGAAACCCTGTCTCAGAAAAAAAAAAAAAAAAAAGAATCCACTATGATGGGAAACACTTTATTCTGAAGAAAAAAACCAAACAAACACACAAAAATAATTCTCTTCCTCCTATTATTGGTAGTTCTGAACATTAGATTTTTTTTCCCATGGCGTTAAAAGGTACCTAAGTACATATGATTGCGAGTGGAAAAGGGGACAGAAATCAGGTATTGGCAGTTTTTCCATTTTCATTTGTGTGTGAATTTTTAATATAAATGCGGGGACATAAAGCATTAATGCGAGTCAAAATGTTTCAGTGAACAAGTTTCAGCAGTGCAACTTTATAATAATTATAATAAACCTGTTAAATTTTTCTGATAATGCCTGCATTTGGATTTTTTTAAAACAAATAAATTTCTTATTGACAGCAACTAAATGGTGTTTGTAGCATTTTTATCATACAGTAGATTCCGTTCATTCACTATACTTTCTGAGTTGTCCTACATGCAAGTACATTTTTTGGTTGTTTTCTGTTTGTTTGTTTGCTTTTGTTTTTGAGACAGAGTCTCACTCTGTCACCCTGGCTGGAGGGCAGTGGTATGATCTCGGCTCACTGCAACCTCCGCCTCCCGAGTTCAAGCAATTTTCTGCCTCAGCCTACTGAGTAGCTGGGATTATAGGCGCCCGCCACCATGTCCAGCTAATTTTTGTATTTTTAGTAGAGACAGGGTTTCACCATCTTGGCCAAGCTTGTCTTGAACTCCTGACTGTGTGATCCACCCATCTCAGCCTCCTAAAGTGCTAGGATTACAGTCATGAGCCACCGCAACCAGCCGAAGTTTTTAATGTTGTCTGTCTTCTGTGCCGTTCCTGTAAGTTTGCTATTAAAATATATTAAACTATAAAAAATTAATTAAAACTCAATTGTAAAAGCACTACAAGTTCAGTGACTAGTAATAGTAATAGAAATTGAAGTTGCAATGCATTCCAACTTTTTTCATATAATGGCACACATTGAAAATGATATTTGTACAACCCACTGAAACAATCAGTCAAGGATGCATCTTGCAGCCAGAACCTACTAATATGAGGACTCTGATCACCGTAGGTCCCATCCATGGCCTCTCAGAGCACTG